ACCAGCTTTCTTTTTAAAGAATATGTGCTGTTTCCTTCAGCTGGTCAATACCTACTTATCCTTTAAGTCCCAGCTTTCCTATAACCTCTGAAAATGTCCCTGACATCCTAGACAGAGCTGATTACTATCTTCTCCACTTCCAGCATCATACTGCATATTTTCCTTTATCATACAGACTTAAACTCTGTGTAATTGCACCATTAATTGTTTGTTATAGCTTAGGAGGCTGATGGGTTAGATCCTATCTGGAACATTTTTGGTCTTTTGGCAAAGGGACAAAAGCCATAGCTTACTGTGCAATGTCTCTTAAGAGTTCTGCACAGAAATGGTTCACTTTTGTTTATTATTAAGTAGTCATCAGCAGTCCAGGGTCACCTGATTTCCCCCCAGAGAAAGGTGAACCCATTAACAACAACAGAAACAACAGGGAAGTGCAGCTAGTGTTTTGAATGTTAATACAGCCCACCACAAGGAGCCCTGGTAGCATAGTAGATTGTGATTTGGGTTGCTAACCCTAAGGTCAGTAATTTGAATCTACCAGTTGCTTCGTGGGAGAAAGATGAGGGTTTCCGCTCCAGATGTACAGATATAAAGATGTACATCCCATAAAGATGTATATAGATAGGGTCACTGAGTTGGAACCGACTCTATGGCACACAACCACCACAACCATAGCCTACCATACAATTTTCAGTGGATGAATAAAATAATATGATTTTTGTGTTAAAAATGATTTTTGTGGGAAATAAAAATAGGTTTGTAGGCTAGCTCTAGGAAATCTAGGGAGATTTGAAATGTTGCCCACTCTCTCAACTATCTTGTATTGAATTTTCTCAAGTTATGATCTCACTTCTCTTTGCTTTTCTGTTTTCTAGCCAAACTGCGACCAATATAAATTACCAGGTTGTCCGAGGGACTTAGATCCCGTGTGTGGGAGCGACATGACCACATATCCCAATGAGTGTTCCCTGTGCATGAAAATCAGGTAACGGGTTGACAGCCACCAACTAGCCAAGTTTTCTTTTCTTGAATTTTGATAGTTAGGAATAAGTATCACATGTGACATAAGTATTTATCAGTTCACAGACTAGCATTTAGAAAGACATGCCATCCAGTGAGGTGTGTCATTAATCAACTGTAGATCGGATAATCAAGTCAAGTTGCTACTCATAGTTGGTCATTTTCTCTAAATGAAGTGTCTATCTGGTTAGACTCCAGAGAATATTCAGTTTTCTTTTAAATTCGGAGGATGCATGCAGGCCATCTGTACACACTGCAGTACTGGGTAAGAAGTATGAGTGGATAGCTCTACTTACA